TCCTATGGTTGCTTTCTTCTCTTGCTTGGTTGATTCAATCCACACACTTAGGATGGATACCACACAGGTAAGAGTCACAAAAGCTCAAGCAATTGGCATGGAGAAGAAATCATGAAGAAGAAGAAGGCAGAAGGACATGGCAGTCTCTCTTTGGAGCTCACGGGTTCAATGGACGGCTTCAACTAATGGACCGGTTTCAATTAGGATGAAAACACCAATATATATAGTAAGTCAAGTGGCCAACATAAGGTAAGTAAGGATATGGTAAGTAGGCTCGTCTAGGGTTAACTTCCAATGGAAAGAATCAACAAGCCATAAAGAGTATTAGCCGTCCAATAGGTAAGGCAACGTTTGGTCGGTTCATCCATTATTCGATGTTGAATTATCGTTCAGTCATTCATGTCGACTGATAAAATTGGTTCTCATCATCGCCCGGGAGGTCGTTTGACAACATAATGTCTAACATATTTACCTTTGGGTTATGCAAACATAGCAAAGCTGATACATAGGGGAGAAATTGGTAAGTAAATTATAGAAATCCATTTATGGTTTAAAGTAGGCGTCAAGACAATGGTTCTTAAAATTCTATAATGCTCTCATTTCACATGGCTTTGTTCAGCCCAAATCTAATTATTCATTGTTTACTAAAGGTTCTGGAAATAAATTTGTGGCTCTATTGGTTTGTGAGATGATATAAGATCAGCAATTTAGATTATAATGCTGTTGATTCTTTGATATATGTATTATACAGCCTGTTCAAACTTAAGAATCTTGGTCACTCGAAATACGTCCTTGGTTTGATAATTACCTGTTCATAGAAAGGAATTTTCCTATCTCAGAGGCATTACACACTCCAACTACTGGAATATATTGGTTTTTTGGCATGCAAACTAGCCCTTCTACCTATGGATCCTAAAGCTAATCTCTGTTCATTCGAGGGGTGACAAGACATAAAGTGTCGTGTTTTACATCCATTAATACTTGCATTTTTGTGATTAATTAATGCGTAAATGTACTTAGTACCCTTATATTTTGATTTAGGTTGTGAATTGATGGAATATATGGAATTTGGGATAAAAAGAGTGAAAAATGATCAAAATGGAAGAAAGTAAAAGTTCAGGGACTAAGTTGTAAATAATCCATAGATGTGACGGGTGATGAAATGAAAATTCAAGAGTGTTAGAGGTTAATTGGGGGAGAAAAGAAGTCAAAGAGATGAAATATAGTCAAAGCATTACCACGTATCAACTTTTAGGCAAAAAAGTTATGCTCCAAATTTCTAGCCTCTGTTTGAAGCCCATTTTTGGCACAATAAACAATCGAATTAGAAACATCCTATTTCTAATCAAATTGTAGATCTTTGAGTTAACTTCTCAATGCAACTCGAATCATCTCAATCGAACATCGGGAGAGATAGTTGTGGTCAAAATACTGAAAGCTATCTGACTAGAAAACGTTTGAACTATGCGGTCACATAGTGATCTCTAGGGAAATTCAGAGCTGAAAATCATTGTTCTATACGACTACAACCCTTATAAATATGCGGTCACATAGTTATATTTCAACACACGATTTTTAGCTTTCTAATTTGAGTCAAATACTTATGGAAACAATTTTGTACACAATATATAAACCCCATAACTCGTCCAAAACTTATAGAACGCCCCTAAATCACTTTTCTCTCTTTTGTGCCCTAAATCACTTGATCGAAGGAGACGGAAGCCTTGGAACAATTAACTGTGAGATCCACCTGGTTTTGTATTATTTGATTCATATATTTTTAGTATTAAATATTCTTCTACATTTATTTTTATGATTTTTGAGTTTAATTGCTAGAGTGCACACTAGTTTGTTATTTTCTTCAATCTATAGCTAAGTTAAACTTCAAATTCATAACTGTTTGATTGATTTAACTTGTAAAGCGATTAGGATTTGTAATTTGTTGCTTTGAAAATTATTAAATCATAGGAAGAATATTTATCTAGGTTAAATGCAATCGTGTGTGCTTGTGTTATCTAGTTCATTAGTTTCTCTAATTCATAAAGCAGTTATTGAATTAAATCTTCGTACTTGTCTGAGATTGTTTGATAAATAGGATTACTTAGATCGCTTATTTCTAATTAATTAAAATTAAGGAGAAATAGAAAATCGATTCGAATGGAAAATTATTTTCCACAATGAATGCTAAAATTATGATGATTATTTGTGGATCAATGATCAGTTATGAATTTCCAATGGTAGATGTTGACTTAGATCAAGATTCGTTATATCGATTTCATTTAATTCATGAAATTACATTTTTATTAGTTATTTTTATTGATAATCAATTGTTTCAAAACCAAAACCCCCCTTTTTTTAGTTAATATTGCATAAAAGATAAACTAAACACCATTCATGGGATCAATCCTTATTTTCACTACTAAATTAATTTTAAGAAGTATATGTGTTGACACACTAAAAGAGCAGTCCAAATCAAATAGCTCAAAGAGTGAAGCCCAATTGGGGAGTCCAGGATAAAGGCCCAAACAGAATTATTGATAAATGCAGTGGAAGCCCACGAACACAGTAATATCGTCGCCCAAGCTTGCAAGACGCCCAGAATTTGAGCGAATGGAGTGCCTTACGGTCGCCCAGAGCGATGACCACGTTCTCGTCCAAACTTTCGAATCGTCCAGGATCTTAGCAAACATAAAATATTATGGTTGTCCAGAATAACAGTTATTGAAATAGTTATTGAGTAATCTTATCACATTTCACGATTCAAGGAGCCCAGTTGAAGGCTGTTGAACGACAAAGAGTAATGGCAGCAGTTAGAAATGGCAGTTTCACGACAAGTTAGCCACCATAAAGAAAGTGGGTAGTTATAAAGCAATCAAACAGTTTCCAAGCAGTTTATCACGAGGAAGTCATCAAGGGAATATAAAAAGGAAGAGAAGACATAGAGAAAAAGCCCGGAATCAAATACTCTCAAACAGAGAATATGTAATTTTAATTTCTTAACTTAAGTTTAAACACTTCTTTTAGTATTCGTGTGCTTGCGCTCCTTGGAGGCATTCTGTTTATTTTCAATTGTAAATCATCGCCAATAAAACACCCATTTTTTGGACTTTGTCTCAAGAGGTCTGTTCCTTACACAATCGTCTGATCCCTTTTTTTTAATTGTTAGCGACTACCCGCGCGAATTAATATATTTTAATTTGGAGTACCTACGACAACACGCATCAAGGGGTAGCTCCTTCTTGATGCTTCTTTATATAGAAGGTTGATTGGTCGCCTATTATACTTAACTATATCCAGACCTGATATCACTTTTGTGGTTCACGAGTTTTGTCAATTTGTTGCTCAACCTAGACAATCCCATTTAAATGCTACTCATCCTCTCTTGCACTACTTCAAAGCTGCTCCAGATCGAGGGCTTCTATTTTCAGTACATTCATCCTTCCAACTTCATGCATTTTCAGATGCTGATTGGGGTGCTTGCCTAGACACAAGGAAATCAGTAACAGGTTCTGCATCTTTCTTGAAGATTCTTTAGTTTCTTGGAAAGGTAAGAAACAATGCACTTTGTCCAAATCATCAGCTGAAGCAGAATATCGTGCTTTAACATCCACAACCAGTGAACTTATTTAGATTTCTCCACTACTTTGCGATTTTCAAGTTTCAAACAATGTCCCTGCTCTAATTTTCCGTCACAGTCAGTAATCCCATTTTTCATGAACGAACTAAACACATTTAGATCGATTGTCATTTCATTCGAGACATGATAAATGATGGCTTTAGCTACTCCCAGTTCAGACACAAAACCAGTTGGTTAACATCTTCAGTAAGCCTCTTCCTGCAAATCTTCTACTTCCGTTACTGCCCAAGATAACCATTATTAATCCCCATAATCCATCTTGACGGGGAATAACAGAATCCAAGCAGCTCAGCAAGGAGGCAGCTCAGCGACAGCTGCAATTCGGTTCAATTCAGTTAGATTGTTAGTTAGTTGAGGTAGTTAATTACAGGTGTCCTCTTTGTATTGGTTGTATATTCAGTTAGGCAACCTTCATTTTAAAGGTTGAACCCCAACCTTGAGGGTCCCCCACCGCCCCTGTCCTGGAGTATCGTGAGGAAGGTAAATCGTAGGTTATGCCTCCAAGGATGCAGGGTGGAAGGCTGCTTGTACACTTGCACTTACCCAAGAGCCAAATCCATATTTCAGGATTCGAACCCTTGACGCGGCAGCCTCAAGCAAAGTTGGATTTCTCCACCCTCACCTTTTACCACTTGGAGATGTGCCCTGGGGGCGGCAACCTTCATTTTATCTCTATTTATAGACGTTTTGTAATACATATTAAATTGAGAAATTCATTCAAGACAAAATCTGTTCTCCATTTCAATAAAGTACTTTGGAACGATATTTGTTACAAAATGTGGGTGTGTAAAGACTTGATGATTTCTAACTTCGTATTCCCTCTACGAGAGTAGATGGAAACTTATTTCAATTATTCCCTGCCGACCGGCCATTTAGGTTTAGATATAGTTTCCTATAGGAAAAACAATTATGTTGAGAAGAATAAAATCAAGTCAAGCATAAAAAATGAAGAAACCAAAAGCTGATAACCCTAAAAGCTTTTCCTAGTTGAGATCCTTCAAAAGTTTCCACCAATGTATAAAAATTGCCAAGAAGATTCAAAATCATTTTTATTGATAAAAAAGGAATATAGTTTCTACCAATTTTTACCATTGACATTTTCAATGTAAACTGCCTACCTGATTATGCAACATACAAACTGAAATGTTCAAATCATATACAAGGCAATGGACTAAATCTTTTTTTCAAGTTGGTGAACTGCTTTGCCCCTCAGAAACATGTCTGGGATGGTGCCTTTTGGATTCCATACTCTTCCTTTTAAGTATTTCCTTGATTTCAGCTTCTTTCCTATCCACAAATTCAATCAGATCCTTGAAGCTTGTGCTTCCAATGGATCGTCTAATGGGACGTGCAGTTTCGTGTTCTTCAATATCGTGCTGCTCTCCCTCTGCACTATATCTGCTGTACTGCCAGCAAACTCTATAAAAGAAGAATACTAAAGCAAGGAAACAAGCGATGCCACATATAAGAAACAGGCCCCAGAAACTCTTGAGCGAAAGCTGGTTCTCTTCCATTGGGTTGGTTTGTCCAGAACATCCATCATGGGAAAGCCATTTATCGTGGATTCTCTGAAGATCCCCGTTTTCTGAAAGTTGAAGAATTGCTGTTGATAAATCAACTGCCAGTGGTGAGTCCCTTGGAAATGCCTGGCCAACAAATTTTAAAACTAGTTTCAGATGAGACTACACTGCCAATAAAGAATCAGAAGAAGAATGCAATAAACGCTAAGGATTATATCCACCCCCAATAAAAATCATTAGTCGAATTCGGCACGACCTAGGTCCAATGTACCATTGCATGACCAGCCAAAGCTACACCAGCTTATTGGCCGTGTGATAACCCACTCCTATATTGCTTCCTTACGAAAAAGGCCTGGATAGGAGTTCAGGGTTTACACAACAATGTTTCCTTCCCTGGGTGATGTGCGATTATATAATGCACCGATAGAGGCCCACAACCATTCCACAATGACAAGCCAAAACTACCCGATATTGACAGGTTCTGAACCAGGTGTTGACCCACCCCCATTGTGCTTCCACAAAGAAAAGCCTTAATGGTAGTTTGCACAGGTCTTAAATATATAGCACACGGTCTATCCTCCCCCGGGCCATGTGGGATTCTACAACTATGATATGAATAATTAGCACTTCCAAACCAGGTCAATTTTAGCAATATAAATGAACACTTCAGAATTGGACAAGAACAGATCAGAAAACTTGGTGCATGAGTTATAAAAAAATTGCAACTATAATACTTACAAATCCCCATCCACTTTTTGTAAACTCCGGTCCGACGGTCCTGAATGTGCACTTTGTGATGGAAAGGAATAGATCGATATAAGGGAGCTCGTCGACAATGGCAGCAACCCCACCACCACTCGGACCTTTCTGAAGGGCAGTAATGTAATCATTTAGGGTTTTCATTATTCGGAGCCTCGACTCTGCAACATTTAACTCATCAATAAGATAATTATATGCAAATGAACCGTCCTGGATCCCTATTGGATCAGTGCTTGATATCAAACCATCAATCCCTTGAACTCGCGAACTCAGCTGCTGTACTGTGAGAATTGATGTCAAACTAGCTGTATAGCTTGAATTTATAATTAAAACCACAAACAGCCACAAGATCAGCACCAAACGTCCCAGGGTGCTCACAGTGTTCTCTCCTAAAATTCCAAGCAAAATAGAATAGAGTCTTAGATTGTGTACTTGGAATAATCACAAATTAAAAAGTTCCAACAAAATCAATGGAGAAAGGGAGAAAAAATAGCAGGAGCTACTTACTGTGCGAAAAAAACATTGTTGAGAAACTAAACCTGAAAGATCAACATCGAACTTAGCAAGGACACCTCAAAATGAATTAGAATGAGATGAATGTATGCATTTAAGTACAATGTGTTACTATACATGTATTTATGTGTGAGGCTTGTGTCTACCTAAAGTTTAAAAGAGGAAAATGGGTAACAGAAACTTAATTTTGGATCTGGACCAATTTCCATCAATGATCATGAGATCAGAACCCCACTAAAGAGATTGATGAAGATGCTACTCGAACAACTTTGAAATTTGAGTACGAACCTCTAATAAGTACATAGGGAATATTAAGGGGTTAGAGACCTGTTTGGACATTCAACTTGCATGTGTTCTATTTTAATCACTCGTCTGATTTTTTGTTGTAGATTTGGCACTCAATTTTCATTTACTTAAACCGTCAGCCACTGCAGTCACTTCCTTCAATGTAAACTAACAGAACATGCACGTGGATGACGGATTTCCGACGTGGCATAAACTCAAGCATCATTAAAGAACAATCAGTCAGCAGGGATAACTATTAAATCCATCCTCCACATGCATATTCTGTTAGTTTTTGACAAAATTGATTGCTGTGACCAATGGAGTAAATAAATGAAATTTTAGTGATACATTTACGAAGAATATATGACTGACCAAAAAAAAGCACACCCATAATCTGGGTGCCCAAACAGATTTTTTAACCAGAAAATTAACTACTAGGTGCAATAAATTTAAGGGTTGTAATCCAAGTTCTCATCCCATGAACTTCACATAAATATATCCAAATTTTACTTTGACTTGTATTAGTTGGTTTTTAAACTAAATGTATGTTCATGTATAACTAGTGCTCAATAAGGAACACAAGGGACAATCTCCCAATACAAAGGTGAATTATATATGCATATTGAAGGAGTTTGATAATTGGAAAGTAGAGATACTAACCAAAAGATCGTTATCAGTTGTTGCCTTGGAGAACCACGGAACTCATGATTCATCCGATGCTCAAGAATCCAGACAACGGCTCCCACGAAGAGAAAAAACACTCCGGTTAAACCCCACATTTGCCAAGTAAATGGCTTGAGGAAAGCCCATGGACTAGATTTAATCTCTCTGACTGGAGCAACTACAACAAGCCCAGACTCCATGAAAGGTTGTGTAAAGTCCACAATTCTCGTCCTGTTTGTGGTAATAGTAATATCCCCAACAGCTGCATCATATTTCTGTAAATTGAAGAAAACTAAAATAAGATTCCTGTTAATAAGAAAATTTTGAATCAAAACGGTCGAGGTCTAAAAACTAATAAGCTTTTAGTAAAAGCACCAGTGCAACTGACAAAGACGTTATAAATAGCACAAGTAGAAATCTGAGAAACAACTTTAGAAACATAATATAAAGACACAGTTTTTGTCAGACTTAATCCTTAATCAAATAGTGTCACAATTTTATCTCTAAATTTATTAATGCTTTTCACTCTGCTGCTATCTTTATTTACCTGTTTCTTATATTACCAAGAGCACAGTGGCCATTCTAACAAGTGCATATAAAAACAGGAAGGAAATACTAGTTATCTTTCCAAAGTTCAATCCAGCATGATTTTACTTTCAGTATTCGTTATAGTATGCATAAATTCTAATCTTGAAAACGAAGGGCAGGTCATGTCACAGTATACAGTACATATAACCATAAAGAGGGTGCTTACATTTTGCGCCACATCATAAACAAGGTTGCTAAATGAAGGGTTTCTTCGACCATCTCCATATAAGATATAATCATGAGGAACAGCGTAAGGCAGTAACCTTATTGCAGCTTCAAATACATCGATGCAATATCCTTTGGCTCCTCCAGGTCCTTTGTCTTTAGTCACAACCTCTGCAAAAGTAACTCGATATGGCACAGCAATTTGCAATGGCTTCCCGTTGTTTGGGAACACCCATCCCCGAGGCTTTGTTACAGTTTCCCCAGGCCATATTACATCGTAGAGATGTTGATTACTGGTAGAAGTGTTTGATGGCTTCGTGTATAAAATTTCTGGAGGAACAGTAGAGAGCCCTGAGTAATTTGTCCAATAACCAAGCAACCTCGATGAAGTTCCACCAATGTTAAGAACATCATATGCCGGAAGAATCAAATTTTTTTCAGAATCAAATTGTATTTTTCCAGTTAGTCCTGTGAAGTTCGTTGTAATAAGTTTCTGGAGTAACTTTGGACCTTGATCAAAAATTCGGAGGGCATTTAGCCCCAGAAGGGTACCATTGCTGTTTTGCAGTCTGGGATCATCAGAAAAAGTAACAGTTCCACCATCATCAAAGAAAGCATCAAGAGCTCGAGCGAGTAACCACACAGAATCATATGAATATAGAGCATAAGAATTGAACTTTGGGGTCTCTTTATCTTTTAAGTTTCTCCAACGAGCAGTAAAACTTTTTTTAAGTTTAGAATCTGATGTGTGATGGCGAAGTGCAATAACCCCTTGTATGAGATCCATAGTATCAGGATTAATGGTATCTGAAGAATCCAAAACAGAAGGAAGCCAATCTGTAGCAATCCAAACATATCCATTGCCCATCATTCCAAGACGTTTTGCTATTGAAAAGATTGTAAGACCTGAGTCAGGATTTACATGTATGACAAAAACCCGAGATTCCTTAAGGTTCACTCCAACCAACAGGCTATCAATGTCATTGTTTGTGGCTCCAGGAGTAAAGGCCGCCTTATAAGAAATCTTAGCGCGTTTCTTTGCAAGTGCATCACCCAATATAGAAATTCCATTTCTACCATAATCATCATCAACAAAGATGGCAACTATCTCTCTCCATCCAAAGTATTCCACAAGATCGGCAACTGCATACATCTGGAAGTAATCGCTTGTTGTAGTGCGAAGGAAGTATGGGTACTGCAGAGCAGAAAGAGTTGGGTCTGTAGCCCCAAATGACAAGAGTGGCACGTGAAGTTCATTCACAACGTGGGAAATAACATGGGCTATTCCTGACGATTGTGGACCAATTGCAGCAATAACATCTTTACCCATTAGCTGCATAGCTGCACGAGTAAGGATATGCCCAGTCAAAAATTTCTCATTTCCCTCATTTTTTTGTATCATTAACAAACTTGCAAAATGTTAGGACCAAGGAAAAACAATCAAATATTTTGAGATTAAGAGTTGGATGGTCAGACACTTATTCTAGATTTACTCAATATCCTCTAATTGCTGCACTTTTCATCTCTATGGAAAATGTAAACATATAACCAAGATCATAAGCTTCGAATGTGCATCAAGTTGTTTATATTTCTGATTCAGGAAGCAGGAGAACATACTAGACAAAGACAAAATACACAGAACTCATTTGTGGCACCTTTTCGATTCCTCCAAAGCCACGCTTTTATGAGAAATTGATAATGCAATCAACTTCTACAGAAGTGCTAGCCAAGAAAAATTAATAAAACAATTAAATTTCTACAGGAAGATATCATCTTGGACAGATAGGGAAAAGAATACATGTAAATCTGGAATTTTGCACTTGGCACAGAGCTTTATTGAGCTAGCTCTGCTTGGCAAACAGGGCCACATAGGCCCTGTTTGTTCAGAATTCTTGTTATTGAACTGGTTGAATATTTGTGTCTTATTTTCTTAATTATATACTGTAGTATCCAAAATTAGTTCTAAACTATCAATCTTTACAAGGCAGAGTATGGCTAACAAGGAGGCTAATTTGAAATTCTCCATAACGAGTCAAACTAACAAAAATTAAACAATTAAATCTCCATTATATCAAGAATTTCTCCTTCATTGGTACGCTATCCAGAGAGTGGACGATATTAAAGAAGAAAACAGAGCCAAAACGAAGAAATATTGTTCTAGTAGAGGAGAATAAAATGATCTCTTCTACTTAATTACCTTCAACAGTTCCAAGAAAGCCACTGCAATTTGTATCCTGCAAGGTGAGGTTCAACTTTGTTCCCTTAAGAATGCTAGAATCAGAATTTATATCATCAACTGCAGCAAGAATGGCCGGCTTGGCCGACCGTCCAATAGCTGAATTTAATGTAAATAAAGCTCCAATATTCACCACCCTTGGCCTAGCCGAAGGAGCAGTGGCATTTCCAGTTATGCCAATGACTTCCATGGGCACCCACAAACAAGAAATCATAAAAACAATTGTTCTCATCATATGCATATGGCCCTCCATTTCCAAGAACCTCAGGGGATGAACAATTGATTCTTCAAGTCAAATCGCCATATTTTCAAGAAATCAAGCACCTGCTAGCAGATTCAACAGGACAGAAAGGCTAAAAAAACCTAGAATTTGAATTCAAAAAATTTAAGATTTTCAACATTTGGGCTTCCCTATTAAAAAGAAAATCATAAGCCTCAAAACTACAAATGAAAACAAGAAGACTGTGATTCTGGAAATGGCTTGTAAGCATTAATTATTACGTAGTAAGAACAAAATCCAAACCGAATAGGGTAAATTAACACATTACAGGTAAACTGATAAAAATACAATTATTTGAACCTGGAAAAAAGACATCGCCACTTAGATATTGATTTCCACATGGGTACAGAGAAAGGACCTACTCTCACACTGAAAATAGTTATAAGAGCCCCAAAAGCCAATTAGCTTGGTTTACTACTTTGAATAAATAAACCCAGTCAATCACACATAAGCATCTATTCTCACATAATTGATTACTATTCATACTAATTAATGTACTGAAAGGCATAATGGTAACTTGTAGGCATGAAATAAAGATAACTAATACCAGCAATTGGTTGGTGGCTACTGCCTCGAAATATTTACCTCAAGAACATCCAAGATGCAGCTCTAGCAATTTCACAGTTAAGCCCATATGCATGTGCTTATATATCAGTTATATGTGTGTGTGCGTGCGTGTGTGCGGCTATGAACAAGTGAACCAAGTAGAAAAATCAACAAGGCACACAGTGTTGCAGGTTAGGAAAAGAATAATTCTTTCTTGCCCATTTCCACTCACTTCACAATTTAACTGTAAAAATATGCATATTTCTCACCAAAAAAGTGGGATTTGCTTTGAAGTGTGTAAATTGGTGAAGTTGACTGAGAATAATCTATACGGAGAAGTCGTGGTATCAGGTTATTCAATAGAAGGGTAAATTGTATCATTAGTCCTCAACCTAGTCTTAGCAGCATACAGGGTCCCAATCTATTTTTTTGTTAGTTGAGTCCTCAAGCTATCATTTATGTTGCACTGGGATTCCCAATTGACAAGACTCTTAAAAAGTCGAAGTTTTTTTTTTTTTTTTTTTTTTTTTTTTTTTTGTGTACATGTCTACCTCTACCTTATCTTGTCCAAGTCCTTTATATGATTAAATTAAATTAATTTTAATATAATTTTTGGTTTTAAATTGATTAGTTGATTGGAACGAACAAACAAGGAAATGATTTTAAATAATTATTGGAGGAAGAACTCAAAAACAAATATGGTGTGAGGGTTTTGAGGCATTAAAATAGTTGATAATCCAATAAATAATGGGAGTTGGTTGTGCAGGTGGCGGCTAGGAATATGGTGTCAATTGTAGGTGGCATCGATTGGTGGTGGTAGATGTGATTTTTAATTTTATCTTTTTACTTTCCTTCCTAATTACCTTTTATTTATTTTTACTCGTATGTGTTTACCCAATTTTGCTCCTTGCAAATGTGACTTGTGAGAGATATAAATGTCAAAAAGGGTGGGCTGATTGGATCGATCCACTCGAAATCAAGCCAAGTTCAAATTTATTAAAGGCTTAAACCAAAACCTCTAAAATAAGATTTGAACTAATTCCAGGACATATTTCAAATTTGAGGATCACACTAATACTCAAACCTAACAAGATTGCGGGTCAAGCTAGACCAAAGCCCTTTTTTTTTTTTTTTTTCTTTTTTAAGAAAATAATAGGCTGGCACAAATGCCAAGAAAAATAGAATGAGGACCTGTTTGCTACTAAAGCAATAGGGTAACAGCTGATGCTGCAATTTTTCCTTCAAATGAATGACCGAACACATTGTTAAAGGGCAGCCATACTTGTCCTTAGATGCTCCCGCTATGCGTGGGGCCCATTCATTTGTTGGTGTGTAACATGTGGTATCCACATGTTCATAATTGTTACAAATGTTGTCATTAAGATGTAAATAAATATTTGACTGGTTTAATTAATTTAAAATATTACGAGTAAAGTGGACTTTTCATCCTTAGGTTTTGCAGTGTCATTATCATTTCATCCCAAGGAATGGGCGTATATGTTTCCTTTATCAATTCATCTGCGGAAACAGATTCAATGACAGATTTTTATACACAGATACATTTGATAAATTTTCATTAACGATTAAAAATAAGTTAAAAAAATTGTCTAATCATTGAGTATGCTCAAACAGCATTATTCTTATATTTATACGGTATAATTCCAAATAGCGTGAACATTATTTCTTGATTGGGACTTAATTGCAGGTACATCTCAAAGTGAATCTTCAACTTTTCAGAATAGAATCGTATCTAAAAGTTATTGAAGAAAAAGGTGGATAGATATTAGTTTTAAAAGCTGCTTTATTTTTATATAATTCATTATTTTTGGAGATAATGATTGACGTGAGAGAAGGAGTATGAAGTACTAAAATATGAGTTCTAACTACTTGTTTTAGAATACGAATGAAATAGGCACGAACACTTGTTGAATAATTCGAAATTTTGAAACTATGATTAAGCCCCCGTTTGTTTTCTATTATTTGTCCATTAAAATGAAAATTATGATCGTTATCCATCATATCAAGCCATCATATTTGACTTTCTATATCTTGTGTGAGGTTCATAACGGCTATATTTTTCATTCTCATTTTTACATTAATGTGTACCAAACGGGATCTAAATAATTTTATTCAATAATGATATCAATAAAATCCATTGATTCAAAAAGAATATTAAGAATTGAATCAAAGAAAACTGGAGATAGTGCCAAACTCGTGTTTTATTATTCAAAATACAATGAACCGCTAATCAAATCCAATGCTTCTATTTAATGCAAAACAAATCATCCAAAAGACGTCCAACCAATTATTAAGAACATTGGAGATTAAGACAAGAGTAGAAAAAGAAAATAAAAGATTAAAGTACTCTAATTTTGGCCCTTCTTTCTAGCCGTGCCACTCACTTCATGTCAACCTTCGGATGGTCCAGTCTATACTCGAAAGCACAAACCGTGCATGAATCATTCCGTTTATGGTAGATAAAATTTCCCCTTCGGTCTCCTTAATATAAAATGACATATTGCTTGACATTGAATATATATGAATACGACTAGAAAACTTTAGTCTGTTAATATTAAATTAAATTTCTCGATAATCTCCACACTGAAGATTTTCCACAAGCCAACTTATTAGACTTATGCTTCGAATACTAATTCTTTAAAAGCACTACCAGAAAACAAAACAACCCACAATCCGTCGTCGTCGCCTTAAACTTCTGAGTATATATAAGTAATCAGTCGCATGCACTGATATGTATGTCATATTAATTACTCGATAAGTTTCTCAGCCTTGCCATAAACACTGTCTTTGAATGGAAGAATAAGCTGTTCCACCGGCCCCAGACCAATCCGATACACCACTTTTGGAACGGCTCAAGTTGGCCACGTGGTTATGAGCAAAACTATACCCCAGTGATATCAAGATCCCGTGATTTCAAGTTCTAGAGGACTATCAATCATGTTACACGTATAGGTTCAAAAATAGGTGGGACACATGTCGACACTTGATTGATTATTTTGAAAAATTAAAACAAAAAAAATACAAATCATTTGCTGCCAAATCAGTCTGTCTCTTTCTTTTTTATTTTTAAGCCAAGCTAAGTGATTTTATTCAGTGGAATATACATTTACAATGCGACTCATTGATTAGTTAGAGTTCCAAGAAATTAGGAATCAAGAAGTTGTTGATTCACATAGATACTGAATAATTGACAAAAACTAAGACAATACCTAAGTTTTGTATAAAAAATTCAAAAGCCATTTAAAATGAACTTTAGTTTTGACTTTTTAAGGAAAACCCTACAATCGTGAATGTTAAGGGTATTTTCAAAACTCTTTAAATATAAGATGCTCTCTAATATAACGAGTCAACTCTTAAAAGTTAAAAAATTAACATTTTAATTTGGGGAGAATGTTTGACTCTTTATAATTAAATGCATTCAAAGTGTGTTAATTTTCAATATAGGAAAATAATAAAATAATCTAAAGAAAATCTAGTTAAAATAAAAGATAGAGAAAAATAATAAATATTTATTGAAAGTAATAAAATTAAGTGTTAAAGATGAAGAGTTTATTAGAGTACTTTCAAAGTTTATTCAAAATTTTAACTTTCTAAATTTATAAAATGATAGAATATGCTCTTTAAAATTAGAAGGTATCTTGAAAATGCTCTATGGTTAATAAAATTGCAAAAAAGGTTATAGATCTTAATAATATTAAAACATGACTAATGCTCAATATTTAATGTGTCTTATGTTCACCCTTTGTTTCGTAATTTTAGTCGTCGATTTTTAAATGCTAACTTTCCAAAGTCATCAAAATTTCATCGTATTATTATTATTATTATTATTATTATTATTATTATTATTATTATTCAGTTGGGCATCATTCACGCTGTTATTGCTGCAGCATGTCCGTGAATGTCAAAATTGCACTCTCCAAAGGCTTTATCGATTCTGCCTCTTTGCTAAACCACCCCTAAGTATGATGCCTAAACTTTCGATTCTAGAAAATTATCAGCTTCATACCCATTTAAATTAACATCAATTGTTACTCAAGAACGAGAAGGCCAGAAAGGTTATCGTTGGCATCAAAGTTCTCCACCATTGACTTCACGACTATTGCACACTACACTATTATAATTTTGAGCAACTCAATTAGCTCCTGAAATCACTGAACTGGAGGTTCGACCACTGCACATACTTCAATGCTAAAGGCCGTGTGACTATCTTAGATGAATGTACATTCGAATGTATGAGTTCAATTATTGGAACTCGTTGAATGATCACTCTTTTCCTTTTTATGGCAAAAGTGAATGAATTTATTAAATTTACACTTTAGTCATTGTCGTGTTGGCTTATCCCTTAACTTTATTGGTTCAAGTTCAAATTCCGTTTTCAATTTTTCAACGAATAACAACACTTTCATTGTAATTCTTGCTGAGTTAATTATTTCCCATATTAAACAACTGTTTTAGAATTTACAATTAAGTCCCTAGATAAGTGAAAAAACTTCAATTAAGTCCTCTAACTTTCCACTCTTCTCGATAAGATCCTAACTGAATATGCAGAAACTTTGGGTTTTATAAATAACATCCTTCTAAGTCATTTTCAGGAATTAGGAACTGATAGTAGAGATATCTATTTTGTACATGAAAGTATTGTGATGGATCTGAGAAGTTGATTTTAAGGATTAACGACGTAGCTAAGCCAAACGTTTTTCTTTTCCTTTTTTTTCTTTTTTAAAGGATCAACGACGTAGTTGAACCACTCATTTTTCTTTTCTTTTCTAGCAATAGTATTAGCTTCACGAAGTCGCCAAGCTGGAGAGTCAACTATTTTACGGATTCCAATGCCAAAGTCAATTGATTTATTTAGATTTTTTTATAAAATTACGTGACATGTGAAATAAATTAATTTTTTTTTCGTTTTGTAGGCTAGAATTAGTCGGGGATATAATTATTTATTTCTATTTTTCAAGTCACTTAGTCCTTGTTTGAGCTCCATTTTTGGAGGAAATATATTTTAAAATAGTAATTTTTTGAAGGACGTATGATTAAAAAATAAATAAAAATTTTGAATTTACGCAAAAAATTATTTTATATGAGAATATGTAGTTAAAAATAAATATTAACAAAAATGAGATTCAAATAAAAGCTTAGTTAGATTCTAAATAACTCAAGTCATAATTTGAGTTGGTTCAACCGGTGAATTTGGTTGACAATAACTGATTGAAAGGACATGCCGTGTCTTTTGGATATAGTTGTCAGATTTCATAATACTTATAATATTGAAAATGGAAAAATAAAATTAATATGGTTTCATAAGTTAGGTATAAATACAATACTCGTGTAATTGACATAGTTGTTTTGAAGAATTTGACTTGATATTTCTTTCTAATTAGGTAAAAAAAAAAAAATTCTCATCAGGAATAAGTCAAAGATCATTTGATTTTTTCGAGCAAGAGAATTCACAGACGACGCATTTATATTTCAAAATAGATAAAATTAGTTAAGATAACAAGTAAATACTTCGCACGCTTTTATGACATTTATTCTGTATAATTTATCATCTAAGCTTTCGTTTGGCAAATTTATAAATAATAGCTAATAATTATAAATGCATATTTGAAATTAATATTTTTGTGCAATTAAAAATTTCAAGTGCTCTAGAATATTCACGTATAATTCTATTTCAATTAGGTCCACGTTTCGTTCAAGTGTCAAATCAACATCATCCTTACAAAAATTCCAAAAGTGATTTACACGTACAAGGAGAGTTTGACATAATTTTTACATATTGGACACTTGTCAACTTTTGATTGATTTTTATCAAAACAAACAAAAAAATGTACCATACGGATGATGTTTGTGATATTCAATTTTCAAATTTAGAAAATAGGGCTAAAAGACAACTAACGAAAAAGATACGTGACCAACCTTCATTGTTTTGTGGGGAATGAAATATTAATTGTGTCGAGATATTTTCTTCGAATAAGTTCCGTTTACACATATTGCAGCCATTGGAGAAAAGTAAATTGAAATTAATTATTTATTCTAATTTATAACATGGAATATGTAAATTCTTGAAAGCTGATCACAAGATTGCTCAATGATAAAGATAGCTCAAACAGTATTGTTGCTGGATGACTCTTACCTTTAGGCTTCAGACCAAGTGGTAGGTGTAGTTTTACATGTGACAAAATAATAAAAAGCACATGTTTTAAGTAGTAAGAGGACGAGGAAATTTGAACAAATGAATATTTTTGGGTTTTCATATCGAAAAAGAATTAATCTACTCAGCTAGGAGTGGGCACCTTTTCCCAGAACCAGTGGAACCGGACCGGAATCGTTTAGAACCGGCCGGTTCGGTTTCGGATCTTCTAAAAAACAATTTGACTTCAAGACAAATTTTTAAGAAACTATTGGTTCCAATCCGGTTCTTGGTTCTAGTATGGGAACCAAACGGTTCTCATTAGATTTTATTTTTTTTGGTAAAATATATGACTCAATCCCCAACACTTTTATAAAAAATAATCAGGTTTCTTCTTAATTTTAGACTTGAGCACTTTCCTTCTTCTCTTTGATTTTTTCCTTGTTTCTTCTTATAATTCTTTGATTAATTGATTTTCAAGCCAAATTAGAATATATAAGTTTATTTATAATATATAATTTCATTTATAAGATGCGAAATTTTTATTTTGTTTTCACTTTGTATATCTATACCTAAATAAATCTTTGAATAGTATGTTCGGTTCTTCTATATTTTGTTAAAAGTATCATGTTTGTAACATTTTTAGAGTTTTTATTAGTGAATATTTTATTTTGACATTTTCAATGTAAAAAATCGGACCAGACCGAATCGGAACCGATTGGTTCGGTTCCATAGTTAGCTATGGAACCAATGGTTCCACTTCTAAAATTTTCATTGGTATTCGGTTCGGTTTCGTTTCCTTTGGAATCGGACCAAACCGGATCGCGCCCACTCCTATACTCAGCCAAGGAAATGGGATGGGAAAAATTGACAGGTATGATATGGTAGATTCTGATTTGTCTTTTTTTTTTTTTAAATTCCATCTTCCAATCAATGAATGACAAGTGTTGTTGGTCACTAAACCCTGTCAAGATTTCCTGTCAATGTAGCATGGTTGATTGAAAAATGACCAAATCATTCAAAATTTAAGGAACTTGGCTAATTTAACCCTGCTGAGTACAAAAAAATTACACCCTAGCCAAACTCAAAACCCTTCATTACCATCTTTACCAAATCTTCAAAAATCAACACAAAAAAATTACACCTACCCAAAGGCCCAAAGGCGAACTGTTCCTTTGAGTCTCTGTTTTATGGCAGGGACATTTCAAGCTTCCTTATTTGTAGCACTTGTATTCTAAACTTTTTTTTGTTCAATAATTATTTTAACATTTCATTAATTAGTATATTTCGTCTTTGATCATTATTTCTTTCAAAATATTCTATTTGTATGCTTTGAAATGGAAATATGTATTTTGTAGTAGTTTTGTATTTTAGATCCCCATTGTGAATTATGTAAGAAATAAAAAGTAGGTGTTAGTTTTGATGAACTTTAATTTATTTTATTTTAAATTGTGAATGGCATCATTTTCCGTCAAAAAATAGTAATAAAACAATTCATTCATGACATGATTATAACATCACGATAAATAGAGTTAACAAACAAAAGAAAGTACTTCACAAACTATTTTAATCTTATTAAAGTTTCTTTAATTTATCGTACCAAACATGTTAACGTTTTAGGGTATAACATTTCCAAAAATATGATGAGATGCCTACAATATCTTCAGTATTATTTTCATTCAAATTAGGCCAACCATCTATACAACTATTGACCACTATCTAAAATAACGCATCTCGATGACAGATTAAAATATAGGTGTTTCTTGGTGGCATATAACACTAGAGAAAATCGATGTGAAGATTAAAGTGCTGTGGATTTGTTGAAGTCGTGATGATGAGATAGTCGTGATGATGGCTATAGTTGTGGATCGATTATGGCAATGGTGGCGGTGATTGTAATAATTCTGAATTTGATTTTTTAGAGTATGTTTGGTAGAGATTTTAATCAAATTAAAATCAATTTTTTGACCTTTATTTCATTATTTCAACCTTTATTTTTGAATTCTTCTCTCACAGGTAGGACTCACTTTATCTCTAAAAGTCAAAAAATCAATTAACAAAATTCTTACCATACAAGCACTTAGTGATGTTTGGGAGGTGGTGGTGGTGATGCTGGCGGTTTGGTGTGGTGGTGGTGGAGATGTTAGTTGCGATGTTTGAGATGATGGTTTGCTGTCGAGAGATGTTGGTGGTGGTTTCGACAGCGGTGCAACTAGTGGTAGCGGTGAGGATCACAAATATTGGTGGTGATCTCAAATGATTTGGTTGATTGTGACTAATAAATAATGAGTGATCTGAAAATTTGTTAATTTATAATTAATAATTTGATAATTCGTGATCTAAATATAATTTGTGGCCAATTAATTTTATATTTTGTAACTATGAAATAAGTTGTCTTATAAAGTTTTTGATTTGTGACCGTGGAATAACATGTGACCTATTAATTTGATAAATCTTTGATCACGAAATAATTTGTGAGATATAAAATTTTTAATTGTGACCGAGAAATTATTTATAACCAATTATTTCGATAATTTGTGACAAAATTGTATAGAATTGTGACATTATATTTAATTTATAAAATATGTTTTTAATTAATTATTTCAGAAAATAAAATTTAATAAATATATTATTTCTAAAGTTTTAAACTTTTTATCTTAGTTTTGAAATGAGTTATTTTCGTTAAATTCTTAGTTATGAATTTTTGCCTTATTAGATTTAGAAGATAATTTGGGCTTGGTCTATAACATATTTTCAGGCCGGATACGTTCAGGCCCACAAAAGGAAATATTCTTCCTGTCTTCAACACATAACTAGAACCAAATACAGTCTCTTATTGAAAGCTTTCATGAGAGACAACCACTAAAACAACTAGATTCCACTGCATCGTCCCATTTATATACTTTCAGCAACTAGTCAAGACCATATTTCCCTTCGTCCATTTACAGTAAACTGACTAATCCATAAACGTGCATCTGATTGTATTTCGTTTCGTCCGTTCAAAGAGGAAGGTAAATTCGTCACTTTACAAGGCTTTATGAAGAAAATAAACAAAAATGTTGTATTTTGTAAGGTTTGGATAATTTAGGGGGCTTTTGTGCCAAAATAAAATGTTAGGAGGTATTCCACAAAATAGGTAAACATTATGGGGGATTGTGCCAATTACTAATAGAGTGATCTGATTGAAAATTGTTAAGAAATTTTAGTGATTGATTTGGAACAAAATTAATTTTAGGGACCAACATAAATTTTCTATGCAACTTTAGGGACCAAATCTTTATTTATCTCTTGTAATTTATATTCAGATTTTGTAATTTTATTTTCAATTGTGCTACATGTATATCACAAATTATAAATTTGTTTACCAACACATGATGTGACGAAATATGATTGAAACAAAATTTCACCAACCAACTTGGTTGAGATGTCAGGATTCTTATCCAAGCCATCTCAGACTCAGAAGACTAGCTAGTATGGCTAAGGGTTGGATTTTCTCTATTAGCCTTGAAAAGGAGAAGTGACAAGTCTATACTTGAGTTTTGTTGCCTTGGAAGTTGTTATAGACAAGACGTTCGGCTATGCTCTCAATGCTCATAAATAAAAGTGAACGAGACGATGGTATGTGGCCTCGTTGCATCGGACATGAAGACAGGAGATGCAATTCTCAGGTTGTTACACGCCTCAAAAAGTAAGTGCTTGCGTAGCATTTTGTTTCGCTGGCCATGTTGGCAGAAGTGCAACAATTTCCAATTTATCAACTTCTTCTTCTACAAGTGTAAATTTTGCTAGATTTTAATTATAAAATTCGATATCATTTAGGTCCAAGTCTATCAACCCTCAAGAACATGAATACAAACTTCAGAAATTTCCAACCTTAAGAACATTACGAATAGGTGATTACAATAACGATTATTGAAGCAACTCATTACTTATTTACAAAACAATAGTTTGCAGCTCATGTTATATCCATTGTGGTTTTTGAGGATTCTTGCTCGAGGAGATGAAGTTTTAATTCTGTACTTGTTAGATCAATGACGAGGGAATGAAATTAATAACAAATTGATTAAGCAAGCATTCGAAGAACCATCACGGAGGCGATCCACAGTGTAAAAGACACACCTTTAACATATATTCCTGCCATGCAAACCATTTGAGTAGCAAATAAGAATATCAAAGAGACGGACTCATCCACAAAGTAAACTTTACAACCATCAACAACGATAGAATAGATGCATTTCCACCATGTTCTCTAGGGAGTCTTGAACAACACTCAACTAGAAACGGAAGTAGAATTTCAAATTGGCATGGGTTAAAAAAGGTTTCGGGCTGAGATATGAACTATTTAGGAAGAAAAATAAACTAAAATCTTGTCATTATATTGTCAAAATTGTATCAGTACTATAGTGTGTATCAGACATGCGTTTAAAATCTTGCTATTTTTTTTTTTTTTTATAAAAATAAAAATATTCAGAGCTACTACTACTTTAGCTCTCTTTGAATAAGATTTCAATGTCTAGTGATAGATTCATTAGATATCTTAAAACTAGAATCCATCTTTTGTGCAATCTACACTCATAGTTATTGGGGGAGAACTACTTGCTTTCCAATTTAGGAAGCAACTCTCGGAGATCTTTGATGCAAAAAAGTTAGTTTTCTACGTTAAATATCTAAGTTTTATGCATACGACAAGTCGAATTGAAGGGAATAGCGTAAAAAATACAAAAAATAAAAAATTTTCAAATCCAATTCCAAAAATTCCCAAATAAGAGAGCTTCTTAAACCTAAGAAATTGAAAATAACTAGTGTTCATACCACTTTGTGCCGATGTTGCTTTGGGGAGTTCTGGAAACTTGGTGGCTGCAAATCATCAGGTACAGAACAAATTAAGGCATAAATGTTTTCAACCTCACTAAAGAATAGCTGAGATAAGAAAGTACATGTCTACCTATACTTCTATTGCATGAAGAAGATGAATCAACAGAACCCAAGGGCCAAGGGGCTGCGACATTATCATTAAGATCACAAATAAAATTGATTCCCGAAGCTTTGTCGTATGTTACATCGGAAGGCAAACTTGGAAAAAGACAACCAGATACTGGAAAAACTAGATTCAGTTAATCAGCAAGAATTGAGACAAACAATGCTGATATTAATTCCACAATGCAGTCATTACCTTTCGAGTCCACTGGTCCATGCCATTGACAAACACCACCATAGTCAACAGAAAGTCACAATGGAACCGCCAAACATTCTTGTTATTGATTGATATCACTAAATCTCAACGATAAATTTAGATAACAATGAGGAAACAGACCTTGAAGGGAAAAATCTTTGAGATTTATCTGGCAGAGTTTATAAATATTGCTCGAAATATTAGCTCTTTGCAACTTCAAGCCAAGTGAAGCCGCACAATTTAAAGCCTGCAAGTTAGTAACAAAGCTCTGCTCTTGCAACTGTGATAAGTAACTGTCCATGGCATTGCAGCAAGCTGTCTGATTGCTTGTTAAATATCCACAATTCGTTGAAACATTTTTCACGTCAGGAAGAAGCAATGGACATGCTGAAAGTAGAGAGGGGGAGCCAAATACGAACAAGATCAGTTAGCGCATTTTCATTCTTTTCCAAATAAAAAGCTTTGTAGATCAGAATATTCAGTCTAAAACACTTTTTTACCTACCTTTGTTTATTTTGCAACTAGTAAGTACTCTGAGAACTCTATTTGCAGAAGCGGGATCGAGTTTACTAGCTAGCCACCGGAGCACAATATCCTTACAGTAATTTACAAGAGACGCCTGCTCAGATACTACAGAAGTGCTTCCCAAACCAGTTCTTGTATGATTCGTTACAGCTAATTCTTCAGCAGCATCTGATATGGCATTTTGGCAAACTTGGTTGCAGCACTCATTAGCAGGATCAATTATCTCACAAGCAACCAGTAAAGCAGAGGAATCTATTTTTTCTTCAATCTCGTTAACATCAGTTACAGGGCAAGATAATTTCGTGAGATTCGATGGGTGAACTGAGCATATCTCTAGAAGACTCTCACTGGCACCTTTACTATCCATGATCTGCTGGAAATCTGAGACGCAGTGTCTTGCTTCAGTATCATTCAGCGCGAGCTTCCGAGTGTGAATACTGGACTGGCCTATAAGAATCGCTAGGCTGGAATCAACTTGAGGACAACACACTACATTTGCAAGGTATGGAGCGAGCGAAGCCCAGCAATCAGTTGCTGTTACCCCCAGTATATGTTCAACAGCCGAAAAGTTAAATGAACAACGCCCTGAAAATACGAGGCAATATTAGTCTACAGCATTTTAATGGCATTTCTTTAGATGTCACAGAAACTGTTACCGGGAAGTACTATATAAACAAATGGTAATGGATTATTTGATTTTACATAATAACTAATAGAACATTAGAATTGCTATGATCGTAATAAATGTTTTGCTATTATTATACCAAGGATCAGATAATATCTTCATCCTGACAATAGACTTTGAGATAAGTAATGCACTAATGCGAAAAGTACATTCAGATCTTCCAAATTTATGCACTGTAAATATCATCAAAATCAGTGAACATCCGTAGATGAATGAAAAGGACTTGAAATTCAGTTTGTTTATTCGAATAGTGTAACTTCTGCATGATAACAGCCGAGTTTAACAGTAAGTAAGCATGAAAAAAAGGACCTGATAACTTTGGCACACTGTTGTGGGTGAAAGGCATCAATGGAGTTGGAGCTTGGAATGGATAAAGTGGTTGAGGATCCACACTTGGAGATATATGTGGAGAAAAAGCAACATTCTTTATTTCGTGTAATTCGGAGTTGCCTAGATAATTCTCCCAGCTGCTTATTGACTTACATAAACCTGCACATATAAATTTTATTTTTATCAGTAAATGTATTGATGCAATTTTATCTATTCATATCATAAAATGCTAAGGACAGAATTTCATCTGAATTTGATGCAAATTTCTTGCTAACATCGTTGTGAATGAGAAGTATTTTATACTTCGTTATCCTAATGCAACAATATGACCTTTCTTAGGATAATCATATGATCCCATCATTTTGCTTAAAATAAGGCATTGCCATAAGAGTTGCATCACATTGCTCCAAGCATGGAAAATACTAGGAAGTAAAATCCAATACCATTTAAAGTTTAAACTAGATTAACCTCAATTATCAGTAACACTTCAGCAAAACATGAAACAACTAACTTAACAAGTTAACCGAGTAATTCACAGTAAATTCTCAGACTATGCCAATGGAAATCCATTAAAAATCACAGTATTCAAAACCCAGAAAACATAACAATTTAGAAATTCTATAACGACCAATACAAGATTTAACAATTAGAGGGTAACCCATTACGTTTCTATCAAAAAATAAATAAATAAAGTGAATTAAAAGAACTTCAAAATGTACAGAAATTGAGAATACTCACATTGTAGTGAAAGTAATAGAATTAGTTGAAGAAGCAAAGTTTGACGGACCGACATTAGTGCACAATAATGAAATTGGACTTGAGAGAAGAGACAAACCAATATGTGTAGGTTTGTTCAATTGGGTTAGGTATTATATATGAAGATGAAGAGTTTTTCATTTGGACTTTTGGCAACAAAATTGATACCAATTTTCATGTTGTTCACACGATTGAGTGAGACTGCAAGCTATGTGCTTGCTTTGAAGAGGGAAATGGTCACGTGAGGATGATTTGCGGGTGATCCGGGAGAATGCTTAGAGTGGTCGATTGCTTCAGAAGAGAATGTGTTTCCTGCATCAACAACACTACGCGGGGGATTCTGGAATCTGGCCCGAGGGAAGCGCATGCGCGGGGTGAAGGTGAAGAACCAGTGTATTTAAAGCAACGGTATTTTTAAACCCCAAATATTGAAGAATAATTAAGCGGATGGTTATGTATGCACGCACCATATAAGATCAGTGACTTTTAAAAAGTGCGCTTAAACAATAGGATCAGTGTTCTTAAAAACATGGCTATGCATCACTTGGGCGCGAGGCGTGGACAAAATATTTAGTCTTGATAGTAAGCACAAATTAAGCGATCAACTTAACAGTTGATCAGTTAATACTGTCAGTGAACCAGCACAAATTTTTCGAGTTTATCAATAATGGGACGCATTGCTTACTGTGTCCAGGAGCACTTTATTAATTTTTTCCTTTTTTTTAAAAAAAATTCATTTGATTTTTAAAAAATAAAATTTAAAAGGTTTTTATTTAACTTTAGTTTCAAATTTTAAATGATTTTATCTGTAAAAAAAACAAAAATGACTTTATCTAATAAAAATTTAGATAAAATTTAAGGTACGGTACTATCTATGTTATGTAGTTATGATTTTAAAACTTATCGTTTTATTGGAAATTTCAAAAGCATGTATAAAGTTTCTGTCAACCTATTAAATAGGGCTTGTCTAATTGAAATTTGAAACTATAAAAGTAGTTTAGTTTTTGTATTTCGAAGACTTGAAAACTATATAATTAACTAATTGTAGGAATTAATAAGTAAATATAGTATTTTATAATTTTAGGTATTTGATATGCATTATTTTAATTATTAAATAATTTTTAGAATGATTAAGTATTTAAAATAATAATAATAAGTAACATTTTTTACACTTAGACCTCGCCTAGGCTCATAAAGTTTGAAGCTTAGTCTCCACGTCTAACTAGCTTTAAGCTTTTTAGAACACTAAATTTGATATGTATAGGTTTCGATACTTAGGATTCCGAGCTGCTCATATGGGACAAAACCTTGGATGCTGAGCGAGATTTCACCTTTTCTGATTTTCTCTTGATCAATGCTACAGAAAAAGGCTGAGAAATAGACTTAAAAATAGGCTGCACGCATGTTGATGCATGATTGGAGAGTTTAAAAAATATATATATATAAAAATTCAACAACTTGTTTTCACGTTTTTTGTTTCCTATTTTTTAGCGTGTTTGTTATCATTTTTCTTTTCTCTTATCTATTTGACTTTCAAGGTGTACAGTGATACGAGTCAATAATCATGTTACAGTGTTCCAAGCTACCCAAGGGACAAAACCTTGGATTTTGAGTGAGACTATCGCATTTTCTAATTTCCTTTTATCTGCTTTACTTTTGAGGTGTCTTGACTTTATTGATACAAACTTTTAAATATCGTGATTTGAGTTAATGATCATGTTACTTTATTTTTCTATAAAAGATGATATTATTAACTATTAGGATAAATTTAAGAAACCTCTCCTTAGGTTTATGGAAAATTGTTTATTGAAGCATTAAATTATTTATTAATATAAATTTTCATTTTTTTAAATATAACTTAAATGAAAAACATAAAATAATATAGATTATAAAGATTCAAGTTGGTACAATGTGAGGCGAGAAATTATATGATCTCTACAAAAATATTTTAATTCACATCCAACCATGCCACGTCTCATCCCAGTGCCAAAACCCTTGACTAGGCATGGGACGGGGAGGGACACCATAATTTGTTTGTGCTGTTGCTCCTATAATTAGGAGCGGGCACGGTCCGGTTTGGTCCGATTCCAAAGGAAACCGAATCGAACCGAATATCAATAAGAATTTTAGAAATGGAACCATTGGTTCCATAGCTAACTATGGAACCGAACCCGAACCGAACCAATCGGTTCCGATTCGGTCCGGTCCGGTTCTTTACGTTAAAAATGTCGAAATAAAATATTCACTAATAAAAACTATAAAAATGCTACCAACATGATACTTTTAACAAAATATAGAAGAATCAAACACATTATTCAAAAATTTATTTAGGTATAGATCTACAAAGTGAAAACAAAATAAAAATCATGTAATCAAAGTGAAAACAAAATAAAAATTTTGTATCTTATAAATGAAATTATATATTGTAAATAAATTTATTTAGGTATAGATTTATCCAATATTCTAATTTGGCTTGAAAATCAACCAATCAAAGAATTATAAGAAGAGATAAGAAATGAATCAAAAAGAAGGAGGAAAGTGCTAAAATCTAAAATTAAGAAGGAACCTGATTATTTTTTATAAAAGTATTGGAGATTGAGTCATATATTTAAAAAAAAAAAAGGATCCAATGAGAACCGTCTGGTTCCCGCGGCTCCTACACTAGAACCGGGAACCGAACCGGAACCGGTCGATTCTTAAAAATTTACCTCGAAATCAAATTATTTTTTAGAAGATCCGGAACCAAACCGACCGGTTCTAAACGGTTTCGATCCGGTTTCACCGAAAATTGCCCACTCCTACCTATAATTGTTACAAGTAAACAATAGAGAAAAAAAATTATATATTTATTCAAACATTATTATATAAATTTAATATGTTTTAGTTAAAAAGCATGTTAGTACTAAAACAAAAAATCTTAAGCAAGGAGGATAAAAACAAGGATAATAGAATATTATTCAGTAGTAGATTCAAATTATGTTTTCAATACACAATAGCCCTAGTTTGGCCACCATTTATAAATTATTTATAAACGGTAAAATTATTTTTTATTTATATATTTAATAAAAATTATGAGTATCGGTTTTTTCATCGTTGGAATTTTCCGAGCTATTTGTGAAGCAATCTCCGTCGGAGCTGACGTCAGCTCCGGCCAAGGAATTTGCCCAGAATTTGAGCTTGGTAAGAAATTCCCTTGACAATTCAACGTAAAGATCAAACACTAATACCATCGACACTATCATTGGCCGTCGTTTCTATTGACCTTCGATTTCTTCTCCTCCGAGTGTTTCCTGTTGTATGATTAAGCTTTCATACCTACTCCTCCTTGTATTCTCATCACTATTTGATCCGATTTCAATAATTTTTCTTGACATTTCTTCACGTGTTTTTTATTTGTTTTCTTGTTAAGAATTCTCATAAAGGACATCAAACGATTAACCTAAAAAAATTGATAGTTTTTTTTTTTTTTTTTTTTTTTTTTTTTTTTTTTTTTTTTTTTTGGTGTTTAAAATCCGATTGTAGAGTTTTCTCCCAGATTTCGGCAAGGGTTTCACTCTTTTTGGGGATTTTGGTACGTTGAGAAGCCAATTTCTTGTAAGATCAAGATTCCAACATTCTTTTGGTCTTCTCGATTACAGACGCTCTCTCAAGACGCAGATGTTCTTTCAATCCAATGCATTTTTCAGGAAATATGATCTTTCAATATTTAGATTTTTTTAGAGTGAAATCTTGGATACCTTTTTATTGTGCAACAGTATTTTTGAGTTTAACGGACTATAATACTATATTAAGCTCATGTTTGACAATCATTATTAGAGAGCTCTATTTTTTTATACTCATTTTTAACTATACATTTAAACAATAAAATATTCCAAACATAAATCCAATTTTTTTTAACTATATATTCTCATAAAAATCATTATTCAAAATATTATTTTTTTCAAATAATGATTATCAAACAAAGATAAGAATTTTATTTTATCTCAACTTTGTTAAAAATTATAACTTGTAACCTTATATTAATCCTATTTCGTTATCTATCCCCTGTTCTTATACGCAAATTTAAATTTTTTTATTATTTTTAACCACACATTTCCCATTAATTTGACATGAATAATGTATTTTTTTCCTAGAATGTAGCTCAAACTTGGGCTAAAGTTATGCGATCTTACAACGCTTTCAAAATATGAGACCTTAAAAAATGTATTTGTCTAAGCTTATAATTACAGAGTGAGGTTGTATCAGGGGCGGACCCAGACGACTTGGCTTAAGGGGGGAAAAAAAAAAGTTAAGCAATAATTTTTTTTCCCCCAAAATCTAGGGGGTCAATTGCCCCTATAAACCCCCCCTAGGTCCGCCCCTGGGTTGTATCGTGTATTCTTCTTATTATCTTGGGTGGTATTGAATTATAGTTTCACATTAATATGATTTTTACACTTTAACACATTTACATATAGATTGATGTATTTTTAATATTATCTAATTAAATATTAATAAATAATATCCCTATTACGATCTTTGACCATCTTCGATCAATGAGCAATGGTCAACGGTCGTCCTAACTAACCAACAATCCTAGATTCGTCATTGCTCATATTCTCTTAAAAATTATTATTCAAAATATTATTTTTTTCAAATAATGATTATCAAACAAAGATAAGAATTTTATTTTATCTCAACTTTGTTAAAAATTATAACTTGTAACCTTATATTAATCCTATTTCGTTATCTATCCCCTGTTCGATCCCCATTTTTGGGATAAAATGTATTAAGAAATAGTGCTTTTTAAGAGAATGTGTGGTTAAAAAGTAAGAATTTTTTTTTTGAAATACGTGTGTAATTATTTTATAGAAAAATTTATAATTGAAAATGAGTTTAAAAAATGGGGCTCAAACAAGGGCTTAAGTGGAATATAATCCATTGACAATTAAATTGTTTGATGGGTTTTGCTACACTAAAATAAGGGATGATCGAATACACAAATGGAGGTCGACATTTTTTTAATTCACGTGGGACCCAAGCACAAAATTGAGGATCGATCACTCTCTCTGTCAAACAATTCGGTCACTTCAACTTTATTCTTGTTGGACAAACCAGTGGTATAGATTAACTATTTGAAACTTTTCAAGTAACTCCCAATGTCAGCTCAGGGTCCATGTACTACTACAAAACACTTAAAAATGGAAAGGGGAAGTGAAGCTCCTTTTAATAAAGTTAAAATTGACATTTTATTGCGAACGGGAGTTAATTTGCATAAAATGTTTAAGTAGCACCTTAGTTAATTATGGCCATTAAAAGGACACTTCTAGAAAATTGTTCTGATTTTGGTTAAGTTTTCGTAATTTAAGCAAATTACTGTTTTTTTTTTTTAACTCACTGATAAATATTTAACTTGTTTGAGCCCCATTTTATGAGAAAAAATGAATTTTTGAATAGTGTATTAATGGAAAATGTATGGTTAAAAAATAAGAAAAAATTTCGAATTTGCGTACAGTATTATTTTATTGAAAAGTGTGTTATTGAAATGATATTAAAATACTGTTGAAAAATTTATTTTTTCCAAAGAAATGGGGCTCAAACAAGGGCATTATTGTTGATTTTTTGCCAATTACATAAATTATTCATGTTTATGTGGTTAATGATTTAATAAATTTAATCGTTTCTATCTCCTCGTTTTGTACAGGTGAATATTTTACGCACTATATTTTAATAAAATTTGTTTGCTGGAGTGGTTGCAACAAAATGAGGTGATTAATTGATAATTAAAATTACAATAATATTTTTATTAAAATACGTGATATAAGAAAGGATGCTGGCATAAAGCAAAGATATTATGTAATTTGTGTTAAAGAATTGGGTTGTGATTAACGTGTTTGAAGTTATTAGCAAATTTTAAAGCAATTTATAGTGACGTCCTTTAAAGTAACTATTCATTTTTAAATAGTGCTCCAGCAGCATCACCTCCCTTGTCTGAGGATAATCGATTTCAAGGCATATTGCCTCTCTTATTTCCATATGCAAGGCGATAAAGCCATAATTCCATCGCGTCGTTTGCCCTTTTCTCCCCAGATGTTTAGAGCACAGCCTCAAAGCCTATTCTCCTTTGAGGCGACACAACTTGTCACATCATCACTCCGATGCGCCTAGTCGTTTCTCAACATAGGCAGCCTAACTTGGCCTTTTGGGTCTGAGGCTAGCGAAGTCCGACTCTAGATGTCTTAAGCAAGTTGTATTTTTTAACACCTTGTACGAAATGATTGGTGTGACACCTCTGAAAAGTGGTTTGCAATCACATCCTTATTGATCCAGCTAGGGCAGTGTGCAAAAGGTTTAGAGGCTTACGATGGTTAGTTTTTGAAATCATGAAGCTTGATATGTATGTAACCTATGTTAAGGGATATAATCACACATCGAATAAATATAAAAATATAGATTAATTTATAAAGTCTTGAATTACTCCTTTTAATAAGGTTGATATTTAATGATAGAACCCCATGTCTTTACATGGTATTATAGCTCATTAAGTTCTAAAGAGTAATTCGATCCAGTTAAGACTAAAAAATAAGAACATGAATTTCAAAATTGGTCTACTCAAACGAGCCACCATTTTGGAGTTTTAGTCAAATCGAATTGCTCGTTATAGATGAAACCATGTGACTAACGTCCAGAAGGCCTCCTAATTTGGACAAATTTCGCATTTTCATCTAAACAAGCCATTGAGATGAAACCACGTGAATAACGTCCAAAAGGCCTCATCCGTAGTCTATAGATACTCAACCTTCATGTCATTTTATGGGTAATCTAATATTAAGTTTTAACCCGACTTCTACATACCCATCTTTTTTTTTTCTCCTAAAATATTATTTATTATTTGATTTAAGCGTTAAAGTGCATACGATATTGCATATCTCCTCATGGATCGTTGATTGGAGCTTCTAACGTGTGTGTCCAAGTGTGCTATAGCATAAGCATGAACATAAGAGGAGTTGTGATCTATTGATGCCTAAGTCCCACTAAATTTGAAGGTCAACGGTATCTAACTTTAAACAAAAGCTCCTTGCCTTTTAAAATATAAATATTAAAGTATAAACAAAGACAAATATAAATTTCTTATTTTACGCTTTTCTTTCTATACTGAATTTATCCTATTTTTCTTTTTCTTAGTTTTAGTTTAGATAAGAACATTGTTTTTACTTATAAGAAAATTACCTTTCCCTTTCTTTTTCTTTTTTGGCACAAACGATCGATCACATCTAAATTCTAATTAACATTCTTATCAAATTAATTTTTTAAATTTAGAAATAAAGTTTCGAATAGAGAAAGAAGAAAAAGAAATCCAAAATTTGAACTTTATTCATTGTCATCTTTTTTGCATTTTTGCTAATTAAATTTTCTAAACATAATATTATGAGAATACGAGTATAGAAAAAGAAAATTAACGAAAATGTCACAAAATTAAGCGACATAAAAAACGACTTCATCTTAATTTCTTCAATATCAAATATGTAGAGCAAAGTTGATCGCAAATGGATTACGACAATCAAAATTAAAAGCTATTAAAACCTGACCTCTTCATTTAATGAACTTTTTCACTATTAAATTAGTCTAAAGCTTGTTGTTAGCTATGTTTATTTGTTAATTAATTGTAAACAACCTAGTTGTTCAGGGACGGATTCAAGACCGGGCTACAAAATTTCAAACTGGACTACTACGTGAAAAAAAAATTTTACACATAAAAAATTGATTTTTTACCAAAAAAATAAAAAATACCTTAAAAAAAAAGTTCTTGGGCCTGAGTGTGGGAGGGCTACAGCCTAGCCCCCCCTAAATTCGTCTCTGGTTGTTCTCATTCGTATGAAAAAGGATTCAATCATTTTTACGCAATAAACTAGATTAAATAAATTATTACAAATTCTACAACAATATTTCATTTAATCAAGTATCTAAATAAAAAATATAAAAATACTTTATAAAAGAAACAAAGATAGTTCAAAAATGGTTTAATAATTTTAAGTACAACATAAGAACCCAGAAATAACAAGGAGACCTCACTTTTAAAGAGAGAAAATGAAATGTGACCATCACCTTTTGTTTTAAATATAAAGTAATTTCTTTTTTAAAATTGTCAATTCTTCCGAAAAAATAAATTTTGTAAAAAAAAGAAAAAAAAAAGTTAACAAATTCTTTCACTTCCTTTTGAAGAATTCTCAAGCAAATTAATAATTGATGCGGGTTTTCATTCCATTTAGATACTCCATTCTATATCGTCGAGAATCGTTTATTATATTTATTTAAAATAATATATTAATAAATGTCACTATAGCCACTTTGAATGATTGAATAATTATAAATAAACTGACATTACGTAAAAATAAAGAAACCATGCAAATGATTCAAGTACCTAACCCATGTGAAAGTCACAAATTTCACACGGCAAATGCACGTTACACATATCAGCTGCCCTCCAATTACGGAATATAATACGCTGCATGTTATGAAAATATTAAGAAAACTGGTGTTAGGCCTCAAATGCAGGAAACTTTTTGCTTGCCTGTCTTTTCTTTTTTGGTTTCGTTAAGAAGACGGCAATGTGTAATGTATCAGAAGTCTGAACACAACGTTGTTTATTTCAAATATATCATGAATATACGGCGAAATAACCGTTTGCCTCATGTGCTCTCAACACGATTGTTTCTCTATATATTCTTCTTCTTCTTCTTCTTCTTTCATTCTTACCCCCACACACAATATCTGTGACTCACATAGGGAAACCATAATCCTGCTGCCTTGGGACGACTGCGCGGTACATCACAGTAGCAACCTAATTGTATAGAACTTTCTTGTTTCCGTGTGCTAAAGAAATACTTATTTTCAGAAATAAAATGGGAAATTGCATGGCAAATCAAACCCTTATTGCAGAAGATGAAAAGCCAGAGCCTTCGAAGAAAGCAAAAACAACATCCCGAGTTGTTAGCATAACTAATCCTTCGAAGCTGAATGCGCGTGACTCAGGCATAAGCGCTGTGGAGAATTGCTGTGAAATCAAAGGCAAAACAGTGAGGATCCGAGTTGTGTTGACTCAAAGAGAGTTGAGCCAGATTTTGAATGGAGAGTTACAGAAATATTCTGCTTCTTCTTCTCCCTCTTCTTCGTCATACCAATTGCTCAATGCACTGCAGCAAAAAAATAGAATAATTCCAGAAGTGGGATTG